CTCTCTTAGTTATATTATTATTATTATTATTATTATTATTATTATTATTATTATTATTATTATTATCTCAAAAAGGCATATAATACCACCTGGTGCTACATCTTGGCCCAAAACCATTTCTTGGGCTTTTGAAGCAATCTGCTGCTTTTTCTTAGACACAACTCCTTGACAAGAAATCCCTGTCTGGTTAATAACTTTTCCCATGACTTCACCCAGGCTAAAGGTGTCCCTCAAGGTTGTATTCTTACCACTACCCGTTCTTGCTTGTTATTAATAACCTTACCTCTGTTCTCCCTCCAAATATTTGGTCGCCTCTATGTTGATGTTATAGAATATGCAGGCACTGGCTGTCACCTTTTTGCAGTCCCCAGAATGCTATTGATCAGGCTTCCTACGGGGCCACCTCTCATGGGTTTAAATATTGTTACTAAAACACGTTAGCTTGCTTTCACAAGATGTACTGATTTCTCCCAAACTGTTCTGTACCTGCATGGTTCCCGTATCCCTGAACATGATAGTCAGATTTCTCGGTCTTCTGTTTAATCACCAAATACCTTGGAAACGCCACATATTCTCCCTGAAAGCTGTCATACCTGCTTGAACCTTATTAAAGCTGCCATACCTTTCTTTGGGAAGGGGATTGATAAATGCATCTTTGCCTTCATTCAACCCCTGTTTCACCTCAGGGGAGGTTTCTTGACACTGGTGAGGGGCTCTTGATCTAGGGAATTGGATCTGTGTTCCGGTTCCCTGAATTGAGTCTGAATACCTTCCATCCCTCCCACATGTGCAGTATAATCCTACGGGTTTAGCGCTCCCCCATGATTATAATAATCAGTCCCCCCCCCCCCCCGTTTTTTTTTTTTTACCTAGATCACTGTAAGCACCTATATTATTTGGCCTCCCACGCTACTTTTTCTAAATTTGATCCCATTCATCATCAGTGTTACATTTGGGTGTTTGGAGCTTTGTTCTTCCCCAGCTGAGAGCCACTATGCTGAGGTAAACATCTCTTTGCAAGATCTGCATGATGTCCATTGTCTCCATTATTTTGTCCATTCTCACGAGTCTTCTACTTATAGGACAGTAGCGGATGTTATGCCCCTTTCCTTTCTATATTTACTCTTGGCTGCCCTTACTTTACCTTCTCTCTACATTTACCCTGCATCTAGCTTTTTTCTTCGTCCTTGGGAAGTCCCGTTGATTCATGTTTGCTCCTACCATCTTACATGTGTAAGCCTACTTCCTGTTATAGGTTCACACACTTATTAATTCCTTTTTCGTTTTCATGGTGTTGCAGTGTACACTGATAGTTCAAAGTCCCCTGATAGTGTAAGGATAGCATTAGATTTGCAGCATTTGTTCCAGACAAAATCAGAGGTCATTTACTAGACTCTGCCAGTATTTTCACCGCAGTTATAGGCAGTTCCCATGACTGTCGTGCACATTGCGTTGATGTCTACCTCCTCATTCATAGTTGTGAACTCTTACTGTGCATTACAAGCTATTCAGAAATTAGACTTCCCTCATCCCGTCGTCCTTTGGTTAGGCCGCATTTCTAGCAAATGTAAAGATGTCCGCTTTTGCTGAGTCCTTGGACACGTTGATGTTTGGGGTAATGAACAAGCAGATTCGGCTGCTCAGTCAGTTGTTCATGACCTCCCAGTTGCTCATGGAGGCATTCCTTATTCAGATTATTTTTCAATCATCTCTTGACAACTCCGCAACCGATGGCAAGAACGTTCATCCATGTTGGGCCCCAACAAATTTTCTCGTTCAAACCACGTGTAGGTTTCTGGCAGTCTTCCGCTGCTGTACACAAATAACCCACACATAGAGAGAGGCTTACAACAACGTTTTGGTCCGATTTGGACCATTTACAAAGTCACACTTTGTAAATGTGCTGGTGTGGGTTATTTGTGTATTGTTCCAAGCACTTATTCTTTTTCCAGTGCTGTCATGTTTGAGAGACACGTCTTTGTATTGACCACAAAAGCCTCACTCACGTATACCTCGTACATAAATGTCCAGCACTGCTCTTCGAGGACTCAGGTTGAACTGTCAATTCACCATATCTTATTAGATTATCGAGTCTATCAGCAGACACACATTCATTTTCATCGTCTCTGCCACTCCAATACACTCATTGCTCTCGTTGAAAGTTTCCACCTTTTAATAACTTTTAATAACTAATGTGTTGCACCAATTGTGATTTTACTTTTCCTCTTGCACTCTCCTATATCCCTGCCCTCACACTCTTGCCCTTCACGCCCTCATCACCTTTGTCCATTTCTCCTTTCCCATATCTCTGCAGCCCTGTATAACCCTCTTAGGTTTAGCATTTGATTATTTTAAAAGAAGTGACACTACTCAATAAACCCGTCTAAGATAACACCATTAACTTTTTATTTCCTTTTTAAAAGTTTCATTTTGAATATTAAAAGACTCATCATGCTGGTCATGAGGTAAATATACTGTAAGAAGTGTCATCAAAGAGTTCCCGTCCTCGAATTTTCGTATTCTCTCTGGGAGAAATGTTGGCGGCACAGATCACTCCCAGAAGTAGCGTGGCGAGTTTCAGTGCTCCGTCATTTTGAGGTTAGACTGGCTTCTCTTCTGTTGTTTTTGTTTTCAGTGCCTTGTGATTTTTGTACAAGAGAATGGAATATTTAAAAAAACGTGTGTGTGTACTCACCTAATTGTGGTTGCAGGGGTCGAGACTCAGCTCCTGGCCCCGCCTCTTCACTGACCGCTACTAGGTCCTCCCTCTCCCTGCTCCACGAGCTTGATCATACCTCGTCTTAAAACTATGTATGGTTCCTGCCTCCACTACATCGCTTGCCAGACTATTCTACTTCCTAACAACTGCGGCTGAAGAAATGCTTCCTAACATCCCTTTAACTCATCCGAGTCTTCAGCTTCCAATTGTGACCCCTTGTTTCCGTGTCCCATCTCTGGAACATCCTGTCTGTCCACTTTGTCTATTCCACGCAGTATTTTGTATGTCGTTATCATGTCTCCCCTGACCCTCCTGTCCTCCAGTGTCGTCAGACCGATTTCCCTCAACCTTTCTTCATAGGACATTCCCCTTAGCTCTGGAACCAGCCTTGTTGCAAACCTTTGTACTTTCTCTAATTTCTTGGTGTTTGACCAGGTGTGGATTCCACACTGGTGCTGCTTACTCCAGTATGGGCCTGATGTACACAGTGTATAAAGTCTTGAAAGATTCCTTACTGAGGTACCGGAACGCTATTCTCAGGTTTGCCAGGCGCCCATATGCCGCAGCAGTTATCTGGTTAATGTGTGCTTCTGGCGACGTACTCGGTATTATACTCACTTCTAGATCTTTCTCCTTGAGTGAGGTTTGCAGTCTTTGGCCACCTAGCCTATACTCTGTCTGCGGTCTTCTTTGCCCTTCTCCGATCTTCATGACTTTGCATTTGGCTGGGTTAAATTCTAGGAGCCAGTTGCTGGACCACGCACCCAGCCTGTCAAGGTCTCTTTGTAGACCTGTCTAGTCTGCGTCTGATTTAATTTTCCTCATTAACTTCACATCATCTGCAAACAGGGACACTTCTGAATCTATCCCTTCCGTCATGTCGTTCACATATACCAAGAATAGCCCTGGTCCCAGGGCTGACCCCTGTGGGACCCCGCTCGTCACAGGCGCCCACTGTGTGTGCGTGCGTGCGCATGAAACTTTGTTGCAAGATCGGTAAAGCGCTGGCCTCCCAAAACACTTCAGTATGCATCTGACAACAAAGCAGTGGGTCTCGCTTACTGTTTTAAATGGTTTTTCTCGATTCAAAGTAGGATGAATGTCAGTTGATGAACGCTATCAAAAACATGCCAACATGGGAAAAAGCGAGGAAGGCTGTTCACAAAGATAGTCGTCGGAGTATCCAGGCATTGAAATGCTGTGGGAATTTATGGTTTTTGTCAAAGCATTCTGACTGAAAAATTAAACGAGGTAAGTGGCTGCAAAATTTGTGCCTCGCTTTCTGACTCGAGACCAGAAGAATCGTAATTTTCTGGCCAAAAACATGGTGGTTGTCCCTCACCCTCCATACTCCCCAGATCTAGTCCCCCCTCCCTCTGTGACTTCTCTTCCCCACCAAAAATAAAAAATGACACTCAAGAGGCGGCATTTTAAACGACGTGGTGAAGTTCCAAGCAAAATCGCAGGTCATGCTAGATGCCGTTAGGAAAAAAAAAAGTTCCTTAAATGTTTCAGGAAGTGGCAGAGGTGCTGGGATCAATGTACATTATTATTATAATCAAGGGGAAGCGCTAAACCCGGAGGGGATCAATGTACAGTCTCCCAAGGAGAGTACCTGAGGGAGTCAACTAGGTGATAAGGTTAGCCCCCTCCCCCCTTTTTTTAGGTGGAAATTATATTGTTAGAGCTCAATTATAAAAGATAATTTTTTAGTGTTGACTTATAGAACAAGAGTACATTGCAGCAGGCCTACTGGCCCATGCTAGGTAGATCAAATTCACACTCACTCGTGTACCCGTCCAGCCTATACTTAAAGCTACCCAAAGTTCTTTCTTCGATAGCTCTTCCTGAGAGTTTATTATACTCATCTACGACTTTATTGCCATACTGGTACTTCTCGTATCCTTTGTAAATCTAAATTCTCCAACTCGTTGTTGTGAGTTCTATCTTAGATATTTTTAACACAAGGTATATCCCCGTTATTTATTCTGGTTTTCCCACTTGTACACCTCAATCATATTTTCTCAAATTCTACGTCTTTCCAGAGTGCGGGTGGGGGGGGTGTAATTCCAGTTTCTTGAATGATATCTGACTGCCATGTATGACCCCCAACGATTTTAGGCCATCCCAATGAAAATAAAAATATCATTCCTTGTTTCTGTGATAATAGTTTTTGATGTCCCAGGTGTTATGTGACCTACAGGTTTAGCACTTTCACCTGAAATAAAAAAAAAATTATGAAGTTTAAGTCGTGCTATGGGCAGCAGTAGGTAACACCTGTGAGTTCTCACTACTCGCGTATGTAAGTGTGCGTGGTGGTTAGCCTCCGTCACTCCGCTGGTCGTCTCCGGCAAGCCAGCTGTGCCATTAGCAAAGCTTCAGGTAATTTTCGGTCTGCGTGCAGGCCAAGACCGCTCAAGGGAAGTTTCTTGATACTTGATCTAAAGAATTGAACTTTACCTTCCCTTCGATCGAACCTGACCTTCACTGGCTTGGTACTTTCCCATGAATATTACTTTAAAGCAGAGGTTCTTAACCTGGTGGTACTGTATGACCCTCATAGGTTTGGCGCTTCTTTTTTTATAGCTGTATCCCCTCAAAGAAGGTTCCTTGATGTTGGTGAGGGGCTCTTGATTTAGGGAATTGGATCTGTGTTCCAGTTCCCCGAATTAAGCCTGAATGCCTTCCACATCCCCCCCCCCAGGCGCTGTATAATCCTCCGGGTTTAGCGCTTCCCCCTTGATTATAATAATAATAATTATAGCTGTATAGCCCTTGTGGCTTAGCGCTTCTTTTTGATAATAATAATAATTCTTTTTTATAATAACCTGGGGTCGTGAACCCCTGGGGGGTCGTTTGGAGTTCTCGGGGGGGGGGTCACAAAGGGTTCAGGAGAATATAATTTATTTTCATGTATTTTAATTAGCCAGTTTGGCTTTTACCAATTTTGTGAGTGGCAACACTGAGCACACATGCGGTGGTCTGCTACAGTAAACACATCAACCACAGCCAGTCAGTTCATAGCTACGGTGGGCGATGTCTAAAGAGAGACGCAAGTATTTGGTATGCAAACAGCAGGTGGATATAAAATAAATTTATATAATTCATGCTTGAACATAAATTGTACAATTCTGAAAGTGACAATTCCCTGGACTAGAACCATTAATTAAGTTTCTTTCAGAAGGAACGATGAAGGTGGTGATAATACTGGTATCGGTTTTGGCTGGAGGTCTGTGTCTGCCTGGACCACACGGACCCCAGAGTTTCAGCTCGACGCTTCAGAAGATGCAGCTTCACACTTCCGTCAGTTCGGATTGGGGCGCCAACCTTACCATAGTAAGTGCTATCGTTTATTTAATAGCCATATCATCGTCATCGATTAACTGGAAAATCTCCATTGATTCGCCGTCACTCCGGACACAGTGCAGAATGGCTTAAGTCAGTGAGAGGCTCTTGCTCCAAGGAACTGGACTTCTTCCCTTCCTTGGACTGAACCTGCCTCCCATTCCTTAGGTGCTATGGTATATATGGGTTTAGCACTTCCCCATGATTAAAAATAATACAATAGTCTATGCCATGTCTTGTATTACTCTTCTGCTTCGACCTCCTGATGAGGCCGGTACCACTGAAAAGGTCGTTTTGCGACCAAAGAAAAAAAAAAATGCCAGATTGAAGACAACAGCCATTTCAATTTTCCCAACCGTTACACATCAACTCTCCGGCTTCTGAACGTTCCACCGTCCACAATGTACTTACCCTAACTCTGCTCCTTGCTGAAAGTTCCTCCTTTGACGTACGCGCGGCCCCTCCCCCTTCCCCGACCGACTTATTAACAAATTAATTTATTACACCAAATTTTATTTGATTTTAACTTTAGCATTCTTTCACTCTTATCACTGAGCGCACACAACCCTCAATCGTTCCTAACCTCATATTCGTCATCTAGCGCATTTCTCCATGCAGCCCTCTATGGCCCTTCGGGGTTTAGCGTCGAGCCTGATATTCCAGCGTCTTAAACTGCCATTTTATAAAGGCCCCTTCTATCATCGGTGCTGCTGATGGTGAACATCTCAAAATTATATGTAACAAAGGCAAACTCCAGGTAAGGGAAGTTCCTTGAAGTTCCTTGTTCCCCTTCCGTGGATCAATCCTTATGCCTATTCCCCCCAGCTCTGTATGACCCCTGCGGGTTTAGTTCGCCTCCACGAATGTAATATAACTACTGATTTTTTTTAATATTAAAGTAAATAAGCACTAGTACCTTGTTACAATGTAAAAAAAAAATAGTACTTATACAAAAATGGAGACTGGCATCTTAAGTCTTACAAAACTTAATTACGAAGTGGTTCAGGTACCCTAAGACGTTACTGATACAAATCCTGTGATCCATAGATAGAAGATAAGAGCGATCCAAGGAATTGGGGCTACTCCCACTCCCCAGGTGGTATGACCCTTACAGGTTTAACACTTACCTGTTAACATTACTTAAAGGTAAGCATAACATATTTTCTACTAGGACTAAACGTATTCTGGTGGTGGCAATGAATTATGGGAAACTCCAAACCAGCAGTCGTGCAACATTTAAGAAACAAGGGATCGATCCAAGGGAGGGCAGATTCATTTCCTAGGCTCAAAAGTCCCGCACAAACATCAATTCCTTGAGGACGTGGATAACTAGGTCTAGATTAGTCGTTCGTGTACCAGTCTCGACCACGACGGTGTGGAAAGTACTGCTTCATACCACTGCATTACGCTTATTATCATCGTGAACACTTCAGATAATGTTAAGATAATACAACTAGACTGTGCTATTGTAAGAGACTGAGGTTTCTTTCTTCAAGTTGCTGAGATGTGACTGTGTAAAGTTTTAATTAGCTTTGGGAGCTAATAAATAGTGTTATACTGACTTGTAGCTGGGCTACTAACATCCTTACATTCCTTGGGAGCACTAAACCCGAAAGTCAAACAGTCCTGGGGAAATACATTTTAAAAGTACGTGCAATTGGAGCTTATTTTGAGATAAATGAACATTAATTGTTACAAGGCTTTAGCTTACAGCCTAAACATGAATTACAAATTTGCATCTGTCTTGAAAGCTGAAGTTTTGTTGTCGCCACTTTATATTTACTTGTATCATTCTTCGTTCAAACAGATTACCTATAACCTAATTTAATTGAGGTTTGCCTAAATTTTACTGCGTTACTGACAAAGCTACACCATATATGAAAGTGGGTAATATCTACCTCCTTGTGAGTAGCTCTAGCAATGACTGTTGACACCGTCCCCAAGACTCCTATCGTCTCAGTCTCTCTAGTGGCTTGTACCACACTTTCAGGAGTAAAAACTGTCAACTGAAGCAAATATATATTACAAATTACCTGATCGTTGGTCATAGGTACGCTTATTAACCGTCAGTTAACTATCCCTGAATTTACCCACCCAGTATTGTGGCCACGTGACTTGACGGGGGAGGGGGTTAAATACAGAAATATCACCAATGGGTCTCGCGCAGAGACTACCTGGCTAGCTGCCAGGTAACGTTGGGAATCCGTGTGGGACTCAAGAGATAAAAGCTTGTAAAGAGGTGCTCTCAACTTTGTCAAAAAGATGGCTACCAGCTTTCATTAGAGGACCGGTGGATGTGTCTATGTATATTTTCCAAACTCATTTCTATCTAATGTAAACATATTAAAGCCTAAAACTACGTATTTTAATTCTATTATTAGTTCTAACACTTTAATTCTATTTAAAACCTGTAATCTATCAAATTATTGTAAACATATCAATAATGTGCTGACTCATGATTTCGCTACTTGCTTTGTTGGTGTGGGTACTAAAACAAATATGGTTTTATTTAAAGTGGTCCCAGTGGAATTTATTTGAGCTTAATAAATTCCGACACTATTTTTGCATTTACTTTCGAAGTATTACTATCACAGTCCCGATTTTTATATTTGGTAAGGTTTGTCAAGAAACAGGGCAAGTATTGTAATTTTGATTTTGATGAAAGTGTTCTAACCATCCCCCCCCCCCTGCAAGGTGATGGAACGATTGGTGAATAGATGTTTGATGTGGTTCTTAGAGACACACAACAGCCTTTTCCCTCGTCAACATGGCTTTCGCAAAGGCCGCTCTACTTTAGACCCCTTGCTCCACTTCGATACGTATATTCGAAATGCCTCTGCTAACAACCATTCTGTCCTAGCAGTCTTTTCCGATCTAGAGAGGGCATGTGATACCACTTGGAGGTATAACATTCTGGCCCAAGCCCACTACTTAGGCCTCTGCGGTAATTTACCAAACTTCATCGCTGCTTTCTTGTCCGATAGACATTTTCGGGTTCGCATTGGCGCCTCGCTTTCCTCTGACTTTGTACAAGCCGAAGGAGTCCCTCAGGGTAGTGTCCTCGGTACTACTCACTTTTCTCTTGGCTATAAATGACCTACCTTCCATTCTTCCTTCGCATATTTTGATTTACTTTGCTATAGCTTACTCGGGCTCTGACTGTCGACTAGTAGCAGCCTCCCTTCAGGTTGTGATAGACAGTCTCCCATTGGACCACCTCTCATGGCTTTAAATTTTCCAGTACGAAAACCCAATTCATTACCTTCACTAGACGCCCGCTTATACCAGATACTCCCTTGTACTTGCACGGTTCACGTATTCCGGCATGTGATACGGTCAGGTTTCTGGGCCTGCTCTTTGATCGCAGGCTGACGTGGAGACCTCACATTTCTTCGTTAAAGACAACTTGCCATGGTCGGTTAAATCTACTTAAGGTTCTCGCACATCGTTCATGGGGAGGAGAGCGTCACACTCTCCTCCGTTTGCATTCCACCCTAGTCTTGTAATAAAGTTGGTAGAATTACCGACAACATGTAAAGTAAAAGGACACAAGTGCAACTAATGTGACATTTATTGTGGCAACGTTTCGCTCTCCAGGAGCTTTATCAAGCTTGATAAAGCTCCTGGAGAGCGAAACGTTGCCACAATAAATGTCACATTAGTTGCATTTGTGTCCTTTTACTTTACACCCTAGTCTTGTCCAAGCTAGATTATGGTGACCAAATCTATTCTGCAGCCTCTCCCGTAACTGTCTAAGTTAGATCCTATACATCACCAAGGTCTCCGTCTGTGCCTTGGTGCCTTTCGTTAATCCCCTGTTGAGAGCGTCTATGCAGAAGCGAATTTTCCATCCTTGTCTGATCGCCGTGATGCTCATTATCTTCGCTATTATGTTCGCTCTCATGACCTCTACAATCCTTCCCTATATAGGATAATCACTGATGTTAGTAGACGTTCTTTATTTGTTCGTCGCTCCTGTTTACTCTGTCCCTTTTCTCTCCGCCTACATTCGCTCTTGTCTTTTCTTCAGTTACCACCTCTCTCTGTTTATGTAGTGTCTCACTTTTCCCTGTCCCCTTGGAGAGTTCCGGCTGTTTTGTTTGTTCTTTCCCACTACCATGCGCGAAAGCCCAACTACCGACGGTGGCTTCCCGCTCTCTTTCTCTTGACCACTTCCGCTCTCATTCTCATGCCATCGCAGTGTACACCGATGGTTCTAAGTCTTCTGATGGCGTTGGATTCGCAGCAGTGTTTCCGGACGGTGTCGTGCGAGGGCATTTATTACCCTTGGCTAGCATTTTTACAGCTGAATTGTGTGCCATTCTTGTAGCACTTATCCGTACTGCATCTATGCCTGTGTCACCATTTGTGGTCTGTTCAGACTCCCTTAGTACTTTACAGGCTATACGGAAATTTGATACACCTCACCCCCCCCTAGCTCTTTGTATCCAACTTTTGTTACGCTGCATCTCTAGCAAACACAGAGATATTGTTTATTGTTGGGTCCCCGGTCATGTTGACGTACAGGGCAATGAACAGGCAGATACTGCGATGCAGTCAGCAGTACATGACCTTCCAGTTTCATATAGAGGTGTTCCATTCACGGACTGTTTTGCTGTAACTGCTACCCATCTTCGCACCCGTTGGCAATAACGTTGGTTTGATCTTCTCCATAACAAACTTCATTCTGTTAAACCGAGTATAGGTTTCTGGCCGTCTTCTTGTCATCAGTGTCGAGGTTGGGAGATTACTCTCTCCCGTCTTCGCATCGGCCACACTCTTCTTACCCACGGGTATCTCATGGAGAGGCGTCCTGTTCCTCTGTGAGAATTGTCAAGTTCCAATATCTGTTAGCCACATTCTGTTGGACTACCCTCTCCATCAACGAGCACGTAGAATTTACCTCCAATGTCGTCTCCGCTCTGCTGCCCTTTCTTTACCTCCCTTTCTTGCTGACGGACTCTCCTTTAATCCAGACACTCGCACTGACATTTTGACAGCAACTGATTTACTAGACAAACTCTGATGTCTCTAGCACTCTGCTCAGTCCTTTCCACCTTAATCTCTAGCTACTCTCTACACCTGCACTATCCACTGCCCCGCTGCACTTCATAACCTAATAATCATCCCTCTTCCTCTTACTAACCATTACCCCTGCATCCTTCCCTGCCCTGCTGCACTGTGTAACCCTTGTGGTTTATTGCTTATTTTTTATTATAATAATAACTCCCACCTCCCTCCCAGAAAATGATGAATACCTGAAATGAAAAACTGAATCGTGATTACCTTAAAGTGACCAGTAAGGTGACACCAGCTTTGATATGGCTTTTGTTTTATTTTACCCTGCTCGTCAAACTGGATACCACGTTGAACGCAAAAAGCTCTTGATGCAAGGAAATTGAGATATTATATCCTTGTGGGGCAATGAACAGGCAGACACTGCTCGCAATCAGCAGTACATGACCTCCCATTTTCATAGTGTTCCATTCAAAGACTATTTTGCTGTAATTGCTACCCTCCTTCGCACCTGTTGGCAACAACGTTGGCCTGATCTGCTACATAATTATATTCTGTCAAACCAAGTATAAGTTTCTGACCACCTGAAGCTCATAAGACTGCCATCCCCACGAGCCCCTTTGGGGCGGGGCAGATGGCAGACCAGAGGCCTAGCTTCTTCCTACGAGCCCCGTGAGGGTGGGGACTGTGGTTAGGCCTGGGGACACTTGGTCCCAAAGATGAGGGGGTACTTGTACCTCCTCCCATGGGAGACTTAGGTCTCGAGATACTCCCCAGATAGGGAGCCAAGGCCGGATCACCACTACTAGGAAAAGACCCGGGCCGGGAGAGTACCGGCGAATAAAAAAAAAAAAAATTGTCGAGGTTGGGAGAGACTCCCGTTCGGCCACACTCGTCTTACTCACGAATATCTCATGGAGAGGTGCCGTGTCCCACTGTGCGAATTGTCAGGTTCCAGTTTGTTAGCCATATTCTGTTGGACTGCCCACTCTATCAACGATCACGCAGAATTTACCTCAAACGTCGTCGCCGCTGTGATACCCTTACTTTACCTTCCCTTCTTTCTGATGGACTTTCCTTTAATCCAGACTCTCTCATTGACTTTTTGAGAGCAACTGATTTAATGCACAAACTCTGATGTTGATGCCTCTAGCACTCCTCACAGCGCTTTCCACCTCAACCTCTTGCTACCCTCTACCCCTGCACTGACCACTGCCCTGTTGCACCCCATGACCTGATGATAATCCCTCTCTTGCTACCCAATGCCCCTGCACCCTTCCCTACCCTGCTGCGCTGTATGACCCTTGTAGGTTTAGCGCTTTTTTATATAATATCCCTTTGTGTAAAACTTCATTCTTCCCCAATCGTCAAGCTCTGTATGACGCTTGTGGGTTCACAGCTTACCCATGAATGGGTGATTACCACCCATCCTGTGGGTAGTAATCACCCCACACCCACCGGATGGGTGTGGGGTGATTACTACCCACAGGATGGGTGTGGGGAGATTACAACCCACAGGATGGGTGTGGGGTGATTACAACCCACAGGATGGCTGTGGGATGATTGGGTGTGGGGTGATTACCACCCACAGGATGGGTGTGGGGTGATTACAACCCACAGGATGGCTGTGGGATGATTGCCACCCACAGGACGGGTGTGGGGTGATTGCCACCCACAGGACGGGTGTGGGGTGATTGCCACCCACAGGACGGGTGTGGGGTGATTACCCACAGGATGGGTGTGGGGTGATTACAACCCACAGGATGGGTGTGGGGAGATTACAACCCACAGGATGGGTGTGGGGTGATTACCCCCCACAGGATGGGTGTGGGGTGATTCCCAAACCCACAGGATGGGTGTGGGTGATTACCACCCACAGGATGGGTGTGGGGTGATTACCACCCACAGGATGGGTGTGGGGTGATTACCACCCACAGGATGGGTGTGGGGTGATTACCACCCACAGGATGGGTGTAGGGTGATTACCACCCACAGGATGGGTGTGGGGTGATTACAACCCACAGGATGGCTGTGGGATGATTGCCACCCACAGGACGGGTGTGGGGTGATTGCCACCCACAGGACGGGTGTGGGGTGATTGCCACCTACAGGACGGGTGTGGGGCGATTGCCACCCACAGGACGGGTGTGGGGTGATTGCCACCCACAGGACGGGTGTGGGGTGATTGCCACCCACAGGACGGGTGTGGGGTGATTACCACCCACAGGACGGGTGTGGGGTGATTACAACCCACAGGATGGGTGTGGGGTGATTAAAACCCACAGGATGGGTGTTAGGTGATTACAACCCACAGGACGGGTATGGGGTGATTACCGACCACAGGATGGGTGTGGGGTGACCACCGACCACAGGACGGGTGTGGGGTGACTACCGACCACAGGATGGGTGTGGGGTGACTACCGACCACAGGATGGGTGTGGGGTGACTACCGCCCACAGAATGTGTATGAGATGGCTACCTTCCACAAGATGGTAAGTGGTACATAAAGCTATCAGATTAACTCCTTCACACAGCCTGAGTTGATTGAAGCCTTCGGATACCCAGTGGAGGTGCATCACGTGACTACCGAGGATGGCTACATTCTGGGGTTGCATCGCATTCCCTATGGTGTGTCAGGCCCTTCCTCTGGACGCCCTCCCATCTTTCTCCATCACGGCCTCCTCAGCTCCTCCGCTGACTGGGTCATGAACACACCGGATAAAGCTCTTGGTACGTGTGACGATGTTGTTTGTGGTAGCATCTTGCAAGGTCACCTGGTGTCGTTTTGTATCATTACATTGAGAAGATTCACTTAAATATTAGAAAATTAAACAAAAATAAGTCCACGATTAGCAGCAGCAGTAAATCTTGGATGTCTTTTGGGTTTAGGGCGAAATTTATTATTACTACTTTTATTAATTTTAGTTTTGTTAGGTAAGACACATATGCAACAGTTAGGTATCTTTATTTCGAAACGTTTCGCCTACGCAGTAGGCTTCTTCAGTCGAGTACAGAAAAGTTGATAGAAGCTTCTATCAACTTTTCTGTACTCGACTGAAGCCTACTGCGTAGGCGAAACGTTTCGAAATAAAGATACCTAACTGTTGCATATGTGTCTTACCTAACAACCTGTCGGTATTTTATACCATTTTAATGTTCAATTTTAGTTTTAGTTTTTTTTTTCATTATTTTTTATTTTATTAATTTATATTTCCGTATGGGTATACATTGCCAGTTAAAATCACTGTTGTTTTGAGCTAACATTGAAATCTTATAAAATATGCCATTGACTGTTGAATACTTGTACTTTGGACTGTTATTGGTAAAGATTAATTTTTTTATATAATTCCAGAAATCTTTGTGTCAGAAAAGTTTAGAATATTTCCCAGAGACTCAACTTATGATTATTAATTTTATCGTCTCACGATATTCAGTTTAATTACAGTGTACATGCACTGAGAGGCCAGTAATATTTATATCGAAAATTAAAAAAAACTCCTTAATTTTGTTGATGTACGCAAATTAGTTGAACATGTCGAATTGCATTAAGGTGCACATATTTCCATCAAGTAACAGTAAAAACACGCCACAGGAGGAAAGTTATTTTTACATTATTCTGCAGAGAAACAATGAGTGTTATATATGTTGTTGTTGCCTGCAGCATACATCTTGGCTGATGCTGGGTACGACGTCTGGCTCACCAACGTCCGAGGCAACATTTACTCTCGCAACCACACCGAGATATCACCTGATGATATAAAATTCTGGTCCTTCAGGTACACCATTCTTCTGTTTATATATATATATATATATATATATATATATATATATATATAATATATATATATATACAGCGCGATTCAACGCGGGAAAAAATGAAATTTGTCAGGTTGGGTTCATTAGTTACGAGAGCTTTAAAATATTTTCCTTCCAGCTAGGTTAGAGTTATTCTTACATGTTGAATTACAAGTGAGAATAGCGTATCATACTCGGTGAAAATGATGAGAACATTTTGCAATATATTTATTGTATATATGTATGCATTGTATTATTATATATATATATACATATATAATATATATATATACATATTAATATTATATATATAATATATATATATATATATATATATATATATATATATATATATATATATATATATATAGAAATTTCTAACTTTAATGTTAAAAACAACATACACTTGGTTGATAAATTAAGCTCCTTGACTGACTTAAATGATTTTAACATGGTTAGTTTTGATGTTACTTCCTTGTTTACGAATGTTCCTGTTGATGATTTATTAAGTTTCTTATCTGAAGAACTCGTTAACTATGATTTACCGTTGCCAATTCCTACTATCATTAAACTTATTAAACTTTGCATTGTTGATGCAAAATTTGTATTTAATGATAAGTTTTACACTCATAAGTTTGGTATGGCAATGGGAAATCCTCTTTCACCTGTTCTTAGTAACCTATACATGGAATTTTTTGAAACAAGGTTGCTTAACACAATCCTCCCTAATAGAGCTAAATGGTTCAGATATGTTGATGATATTTTGTGTCTTATGCCCAAAAATGTAGATATACACCATTTCCTTGGAAAATTAAATAGCTTAGCTCATTCTATAAACTTTACTGTTGAGTTTGAAGAAAATAACTCATTGCCTTTTCTAGATGTTTTAATTATTAAGGGTAATAATGAATTCAAATTTAAAATTTACAGAAAACCTACAAATAACTGTTCCTATGTCCACTATTATTCCTCGCATCAAACTGTCTGTTTTCTCATCAATGTTTTTGAGAGCTTTACGAATTTGTAGTCCTGAGTTCATAGATGAGGAAACATCCAAAATTTATGAAATAGGTAATGATTTAAAATACCCAAGAAATGTAATTGATAAATCTTTTAAAGTTGCTAGAAATACTTTTTACAATCCAAAAAGGGACAACCAGCCTTATTCAACTAAAAATATGTTGGTTCTCCCTTACCATGAAAACTTGGTTGATATGCCTTCTCTTCTTAAGACTTTTAATATTAAAGTTGTATTCAAAAATCTTGATACAGTAAAAAAAACTTTTGATAAAGAATTCCCCCCAAAATGCTGATGGATGTGTCTATAAGATTCCTTGTAAAATTTGCGATGAAGTTTATTACGGTCAAACTGGTAAAAATCTCGAACTAAGATTAAAACAACATAAATATAGCATTAGAACTGGACAAGATTCCGATGCTCTATTTATTCATGTAAGAGATTTTAACCATCCAATTGATTTTCAAAAAGTTGAGAAAGTAGTATCAAGCAAGTCCATGGTCGACAGGAATATAATTGAATCTTGTTTCATAAAAAGCAGTTTTGACAATAATATGAATATTTCCTTTGGTTTATATAAATTAGATCCATTTATAATTAATAGAATTTGGGAAGAATTTAATAATACACTGGACAAATAATAATTTTTAAATTTTCTTGGGTAGAATAGTTTGTGGGTGAGTTGTACAAAGGACCTATCCAAGTTGGGTCGGCGCGCGTCAGGTGTTTAACCGTTGTGGGATCTGATAGTGAGGTGCTGGCCAGACCCCTTATATAGCTTCCTTGGATGCTTTACTTTCATAGTTCCTTGTGATGAATGGTTTGAAAAGGTTGAACAAGTGTTGAAGAATTCTTTGTAACAAGATCCCATGATGCTGCAGTGTCTGACAGTTGTGATGAATGGTTTGAAAAACCGACAAGTTGAAGATTGAGACACTTATGCAGCATATGGGAATCTTTATTCAGGAAACGTTTCGCCACACAGTGGCTTCATCAGTCCAATACAAAGAGGAAGGCGTAAGGAGAGGAGGAGTATGAGGTAATCAGTCCCTCAGCCTGGAGTCGATGTGTTCAGTCCATCAATCTTGTAGAATGTACAGCATAGGGCCGTAGACAAAGAATTCTTCAACACTTGTTCAACCTTTGGACGAAGACCTACTTCGACTAGTGGATGGTACCACTATGACCCCCGCCTCCGCCTGCTTCACCTCACCTCACTACAGTATATAAGCCACGTCTACGGCCCTATGCTGTACATTCTACAAGATTGATGGACTGAACACATCGACTCCAGGTTGAGGGACTGATTACCTCATACTCCTCCTCTCCTTACGCCTTCCTCTTTGTATTGGACTGATGAAGCCACTGTGTGGCGAAACGTTTCCTGAATAAAGATTCCCATATGCTGCATAAGTGTCTCAATCTCCATAGTTCCTTGATAATGTGAGTAGTCACGAAAGCGCTTGGAATTTCTCTATTCTTTCAGAGTGGTTGTTTTGCATATATATATATATATATATATATATATATATATATATATATATATATATATATATATATATATATATATATATATATATATATATAATAATATACATGCATACATATATACAATAAATATATTGCAAAATGTTCTCATCATTTTCACCGAGTATGATACGCTATTCTCACTTGTAATTCACATGTAAGAATAACTCTAACCTAGCTGGAAGGAAAATATTTAAAGCCTCCGTAACTAATGAACCCAACCTGACAAATTTCATTTTTTCCCCGCGTGATCGCGCTGTATAGCCCTTGTGGCTTAGCGCTTCTTTTTGATTATAATAATAATCCCCGCGTGATGGAATATAAGAGGGAAAAATTATCCCACGTGATTGTAAGCATAGTTTAAGCACAGTGCAGCTGTACTAATTTTATTAATACAAAATTGTTTTCAGCTGGGACGAGATGGCCGTTTACGACGCAACTGCCGGTATTGATTACGTGCTCGAAACCACCGGAGAGTCCAGCCTCTACTATGTTGGGTTTAGCATGGGAACTACAATCTTCTTTGCTCTGATGAGCGAGAAACCGGAGTATAACGACAAGGTATGGCAAGATGAGTGAGACGACCGAAATGTTTTGAAAGCGCGTGGATTATTTAAACTGCATTTTGTGTTAAATAATAAGTAATCACCGGATTTTTTCTTGTATTGGTTAGGTGAGGGTGATGGTAGGACTGGCTCCAGTAGCCTACCTGGAATACGCTAAGGGACCCATAATCGAGGTGGCGCAATACTCCAATGACCTAGAAGTGAGTACCCGGGTCAGGAAGATTAAGATCATGTCTTATTTCTTCACTGTCAGGGTTGTTAGTTTGTTCATTAGTGTAACCTCTGTCCATTTGTTCCGCCTCCTACTCGTTTTCCTCTTCGCCGCCGCTCCAGTCTTGAGTTGACAAACTTATCTATAATCATAGAACGAAGCTTCTGTTTTTTTCCCCCCCTCGATCACTAACCAGGTGGTATACTTTGAATTTAAAATTGTGTTGTATGCGCCTTAGAGTTACATAATATACTATTTGGTGTTTAGCTTTGTAGCCCTCTACCTTTCAGGGAAGGCACCTTGATACTGGTGATGGGCTCTTGATCCAGCGAATTTGAGTTGTTCTCCCTTTCATTTAAACTTGATTGCTTCTCATTTCCCAGATTTGTATGACCCCAGCGAGTTTAGTGCTTCCCCGTGAATATTATAATGGTAGCCCTCTAATGACAGTTTCCAGAACTACTTGTAATTTATGGTAGTATTGGCCATAGTATGATTCCTTAATTTATCATCATCATTATAGGTAAGCGCTACCTACGAAGTATTCTTACTGTACCTGGGGAATGAGTGATAATTAGGCTTGATTATGGACAGGAAATATAACTCCAATTTCATATATCAAGAGCCCGTCACCAACATCAGGGGCACACTCTTGAAGGCAATGATATATCTAGATGCTGCTCACAACTATGCAAATTTCTACAAATATGTCTAGAAGCATCATTCCTGCCCGAAAATCACGTATCTGTTAGGTAAAAGGACGCAAGTGCAACTATTGTGACATTTTATTGTGGCAACGTTTCGCTCTCCAGGAGCGATAAAGTTCTTGGAGAGCGAAACGTTGTCACAATAAAATGTCACATTAGTTGCACTTGTGTCCTTTTACCTAACATGTTGTTGGAAATTCTACCAACATTATTACATGTATCTATCTCAACACACGTTACATACATTCGGATTTAGTGCCTTTTGAAAATAGACACAATATTAATAATATAATCTGTGACTGGGAGCAAAATTATTTTACACAACTGTACGTGATATTCGCACATTTCTATCATTCTGTAATATCATAATTCCACACCTATGTCTGACACCCAGACAATTATACATATCTAAGTTTAAGTCATGCAATCTACGTATGTCAAATCTACATATAAATCTACACATTTGCCTTAGTAACATCTTTTAATTCTACCTAACCCTAAATATTTATTATAACTAAGATAATTCGATTAAGCACTTTAAATAAATATTTAGCACATATTGGACTGGCTATTACCACATGGGGATATTACCACATTCTTGAATGTATCTATCGGTCGACACAGTACAAATATGATCTTGTGCATACCTTGCATCAGAGCTTCACTTAGTAGATTAATCTAGACTGGGAAATTATTTTTACAAATAGTGTAGCAATTCTACTAAAAATCAATTTAACAGAAATTTATTCTAAGTACTTAAGATGCAACTACTTTAAATCTAATATGGTAGCTGGTAGTCTACATCCTTGTGATACTTGCCTAGACCCAGAGGTAGTTATAGTATAAGAAGATGAATTAGATAAGAGTAGATAAGATTTTAGACAGATTTGTGAGAGCTAAACACATAGAGGAGTTAGTAAGTTTTGGAGAGAAGAAGAGAGCAGAGAAGAGAGAGAAAGAGAAAGTGAGAAAGAGAGCAAGAGAGAGAAGAGAGAAGTGAAAGAGAGAAAGAGAGAAAGAGAGAAAGAGAGAAAGAGAGAAAGAGAAAGAGAGAGAGAGAGAAGAGTAAAGAGAGAAGAGAGAAGAGAGAAAGAGA